GGGAACGAGTCGTCTCTGTGGGAGTGTCCCTCGGCGGGCTGGGGACAGCACGACTGCGGACACAAGGAGGACGTGGCGGTCGTGTGCTCAGGTACTGAAACCTTAACTTAATCAAACTGCCGCTGTGCAGGTCTGTCCAGGGCGCGGTCACTCTGGTATGTGATTGTCAGGTACTGAGCGAACGATGAACATTATATGACTATATGACACGCCATTGAGTCCACATCTCAGAATGCCACGTCCGGTGATGTCAATGACTTTGAGAGAAACCGGCCTGGAGAAAATGGGAGGTGTAAAATGTCAGAGCGGGAGCTGTGTTTCTTCAGAAGGGCTGTCCTGTTGTGTTGGCAGAGCACAAGCAGCTGAGGCTGTCCGGGGGCTGCTCGGGGCAGGTGGAGCTTTTCTACAACGGCAGCTGGGGCAGCGTCTGTAGCAACAACATGACCGACCTCGCGGCCGCCGTGATCTGCCACCAGCTGGGGTGCGGAGACGGCGCGGGAGTCGGAGAGACGGCGTCCAGGCTGACCGGCGCCCCCCGGTGGCTGGACGACATTCAGTGTCGCCGGCAGGACTCCGCCCTGTGGCAGTGCCCGTCGTCGCCGTGGGGCCAGACCGCCTGCCGGGATAACGAGGTGGCTGAGATCACGTGCTCAGGTACTCGGCTCGTACTCCTGGACCGCTCTGCTCGGCCGGTCCAGCCCCTCCTGTAGTCTGAAGTCCGAGTTCTGCTGGTTCTGTGGAATGTGGAGCAACATGTGCAGCAGTGTGATCTGTGTCTTTTTTCTGTTGGATCTGTGATACGAAGTTAAGTGTCCCTTAGTATCCTTATCCCCTCTTCCTGAATCGTGAGCTGTTCTGTTACCCATCACCCACCTTTATTATGATGCAAAACTGGTTCTCACAGCTGATTGGCTACACACCACGGCCACAGCCAATTAACTGCACCGATGAAGTCACAGTCAAGGGGCGAATTACTTTGCTGAGCTTTGTCTAGTAATTGGTTATAATATTTGAAGAAATAAGGTCTCCTCTCCAGCAGGATGGGTTTCATCACAGCCTGGCCGTAAATACTAAAGCTGCAAATTGTTTGAAATAGGTGTACTTATATTCTTGTTAGATGTATCTGTAAGATGATGTGACTTTATTTTGAAGAAAAAAGGAAAGATTTTATTTGAACCTTGTTTAGGAGAGCTTGCCGTTCTGTTATTTTAGGGATCTGATTTTCTTTGCAAAGAATCCCCAGGTTGAAACATTTTCTTCCAGTTAATGTTGCCTTATTTGAATGGGAAATTAAATTAAACTTGCTTTGGGGGATCCAGATTTTCATGAAGTGGGATTTAGCCCTGGGTTGGATTCTCTCTTATTGAGGAGGCAGGTTGATCTCTCTTGTTGGCCCGTGTAGCTGTTATGTAGGATTTGTGAATACTGGGTAGCTGTCTGGCTGATTAAGACAGTGCTCAGTACCTTGTATGTTGTATCAGTAACTTGTATCTTGTATGCTGCGTTGTGTGTTACTTTGTGTTATTGTCATTGTTAATAAATATTGGTTTGTACCTGATTTATTACTCTTACACCAGAGGAACGAAGAGCTCAGGTGCCTCTAACTATGCCGAGACCTAGGGTATACTCTTGGCATTTGGGGGTTGTGATTATTTAATTATTGATTAGCCCACTCTGTATTTTGCTGGTTTCTTAAACTCCATATTTGTAACAATGTAAATCATTTTATACATGGATGGTGAGAAAAATCATGCATCCCCGAGCATGGAAGAGAGATATCAGCAGCTCATGTGCATTTCAGAGGGGGATACAGATTTCCACGGGCTACTGAACTGGACAGGACACTGGTTCTCTTCCTGCTGCCACATAGAGGAAGCATACAACTCTTTCTGAAGTGTGATCGCTGGCTCTGTCTGCTCCCAGACCACAGGGCCCTGCAGCTGGCCGGGGGACCAGACGGCTGTGCCGGGAGGCTGGAGGTCTATCACCGCGGCTCCTGGGGGACGGTCTGCGATGACTCCTGGGGCCCGGCGG